ACATACCTGCTATATGCCTGCTACATGTCTGCTACATGTTTGCTGCCTGTCTGCTACATACCTGCTATATGCCTGCTACATACCTGCTACATGTCTGCTACACACATGCTGCATACCTGCTACATGTCTGCTGCATGACCGCTACATACCTGCTATATGCCTGCAACATGTCTGCTACATGTCTGCTGCATGACCGCGACATACCTGCTATATGCCTGCTACATCTCTGCTACATGTCTGCTGCATACCTGCTACATGTCTGCTACATACCTGCTACATGTCTGCTACACACATGCTACATACCTGCTACATGTCTGCTGCAGGACCGCTACATACCTGCTTTATGCCTGCTACATGTCTGCTACATGTCTGCTGCATACCTGCCACATGTCTGCTACATACCTGCTACATGTCTGGTGCATGTCCGCTACATGCCTGCTACATGACTGCTGCATGAATGCTGCATGACTGCTACATGCCTGCTACATGTCTGCTACATGACTGCTACATGCCTGCTACATGTCTGCTGCATGACTGCTGCATGACTGCTACATGCCTGCTACATGTCTGCTACATGCCTGCTGCATGTCCGCTACATGCCTGCTACATGTCTGCTACATGTCTGCTGCATGACTGCTACATGACTGCTACATGTCTGCTACATGACTGCTACATGTCTGCTGCATGACTGCTGCATGACTGCTACATGTATGCTACATGACTGCTACATGTCTGCTACATGACTGCTACATGACTGCTACATGACTGCTACATGTCTGCTACATGTCTGCTGATGTCACAACTGAAAAGATTGACAGAACATCACTTCAAAGATGACCAGAATAACCCTTTAACACCCCTCAGGGCTCCTAAAACCATTGATTAACACGTTATTTCCTGTACCGGAAGGTAAATCACAATGTCGGTGGAGTTCTGCTGGATGTGTTTGTGAAGCAAGATTCAGGTCTGAGCCCAATGAATGGTTTTCATTAGTCAATGTTTTGCCTGCAAGGTGACCAAGGTTTGAGGTTGTCACCTTCTAAACCAAAAGGATTTATTGATTTACTGAATAAATCCTGATCCTAGACCTGTAAAAGAATGAACTTACATGCAAGATTTGAACAATAAGTGCAAAAACATTCACAATGAGTTGGAAAAGTATTCCACCCCCACTACCCTCTTGATTTTGTTGCTTTACGAATTGCCTTATGAATGTTCAGTATGCCTTCTCAGTTCAATTTGAAATAACAGATCTGTACAAAACACTTCAAATTAAAATAAAAAATGGGGAGAAATATTTTAATATGCCAAAGAAATCTAAAATTAAAAGTGGTACGTACATATGCATTCACTCTGTTTGCTCTAAAGATCCAACCTTTATCTTCAGAAGACCCACCTGTGTCAGATGATCTCAGGTTATACACACCTGTTCTTGTTCTGACAGCCTCCAGAACCAACAGCACTTCAATGCCTTTAAGGCCTACCACCAAGCAAGAGACATCATGAAGACCAAAGAACTATGCCCACAGGTCAGATGCAAAGTTGTAGTTTCATATAGTTTTTGATTTCCACAGATAGTGGTTGTAAACAAGACTAGAGTATTGGTAGTGGTGGGAAGGGGTTGTAGATACAGTCTTCTGTTTATTGCTTGGACTCACCTAATACACATTAAGCCTGACTTTGTGGTAAATGCAGACCTTTATCCTTTTGTGGAGCAAATAAAATCCATAATAATACAGAAGGTTTTAGAAGAATTTCTGGACAGCTGGCCCATCCAACAGATGCTGATGGTTCAGACATAAACCTTCACAGATAAGTCAAGTGGAGGCGCAGCAACAACTGCAGCTGTGCACCATGTCCTCTGCAGTTCAGACCTCAGAGATCACAGCAGAGATGTCAAACGCTGCAGGCATGGAAATGCCTCAATGAATTCTCCTGCAATTCCCCTTGTGGGTTAGAAACCACACACGTGTGCACACACTGAGTTGTGACTCACACAGTCCCACAGAAAGACTCAGATCTGCACTGACTCATTCCCCTTTTCCTTCCCCCGAGGAAGGAAAACATGCACCAATGTATGTTTTGTTTGCTGTTTTCTCTCCCTTTGCTTCCCTTTATCTTGTTTTCTAAAGAGCCGTAGCCTCTGGCTCCTGGGCTGTGCCCCCCACCCCACCCCATCTCTGGATGGGATGGAGACTGATGGGAGCTGACGTGATGGTGGCATTGTCCTCACCGTCGAGTTAATGTGACCCAGGGGAAGTTGTCCCTGTATGCTTGGCCTGATGGCAATGAATGCAAAGCGTGTTTTATCATGGGGGGAACAACAAGCGTGCAGGGGGCTGAAAGCAAGGAGAGCAGAACAAATATGAAGGAAGACAGAGATAAAAAAAAACTGGGGAGAAACCAGTTCCATGTATTGATAAACCTGAAATAAACAACAAATTTATTGGGTTTAGGTAACATACTGATTGTAGCCTTTGGAAGTTGCATTATTAGTCCTAACCTCCATCAATACGGTCATTTAACTGTTTTATAAAAGCTCTCTGGTCAGCATTTATAAGATTTATTTTTCTAAATCAGACCCAATACTTCATAACCTACATCAAAGTAGGTCTGGTTGTTCTAATTTATCTGTCGGTTGTCTCTGGGCACCTTTATGAGCTTATCACAAATGCATCATGTGTTGTTGTAAATCTGACCAGAAGGAAGCAAGTTAAAATGAGAAAGAGAAAACCAAGCTGCTTCTGACTTTAAAGTTCTTTTCTCACTGTGGTAGCGATTAGTCGCTGACTCAAAATGGTGAGAAAATGGGTGAATTTTTTTGGTTACTGTCTCAGTAAACTCTGTGTTTATGACTAGAAAACTGTCCTGAATTACCAGTTTTTAAGAATCATCAACTATTTTTGTAAAACTTTTTTCTGTGCCATGAAGATTATTTTGTTTCCACCTCCGCCAACATCGTTACAAACCTACAAACTCCTCCATGTTTATCAGATAGAATACACTTTAGACATGATAAGTTTCAGTTATCAATTCTCATCAGTGCTTTTCTAAGACCTGGACATGTTTTCTCTGTCAAAATACAGCAAACAACTTTTGGGACAGGCTTGGAAATGCTCCTGTCTCTGACTTTTTCAGAGACAATTCCTCATAAACATGTTCAAATATCAAGCGATCGGACAGCAAACCTCTGAACCACCACGAAATGCTGAGACATTCTGGACGCTTCCTTATAAAATCTGTTTGTAACGAGTCCAAGCCAGTGAGATACAGATAATAAAAGAAACGTTTTGTCTCCCCATGATAAACGTCTGTCATTGTAAAACTGCAGAGGGTGTAAACCTGTCAAAGACTGTGCAGCCAATCAAGAATCACCGAGATGTCACTGATCTGGTCAAACTTGACAAGAGTTATGCACAGCCTCTGGTTCCAAGACATCATGCATCAATGCATGAAGACCCAACTCAAAGAGTTCATTATGTGGGTCTGCTCCATGGAGACACTACAGACTGGACCAGGAGCTGGAAGTTAAAGTCATTTCAGGCTCCCTGCAGTGGCTGGCTGCAGTACAAGCTGTGTCTGACCATACTCATAAACTAACGAGACATTTTCCTGAAACACCAGATAATTAGTCTGTCCCAAAGACAAAAGGTAGACAGCCTTTTGTGTGTTCGCGTGTCTATTAGCAGAATACTTCATGAACCAGAAGACAGGTTTTAATGAAACTGTCGATGTGTAGGTGAGATTTTCATTTTGAGGGTACAGCTCCACATCCCTACTGTGAAAAAAACTACAACTGAACCCAACAAACAGATTTTAACTTCAATCTTGAAGATCTGGAGAAGCAGAGACGCTTCATGTTCCTCCTAAATCTGACTCCTTGCCAATTATTCAGTATATTGGAGTCTCCTTGTTTAATCGAAACATGATCCAAAGTCTGTCCTTCGATTGATGATCAAGTCTGTTGTGTTGAATATGGTGTGTGTGAGGCTCTCAGACTGTCACCTCTGTAGCACTGTGGGTGGAGTAGCTCTTCTGCCTGCCATGGGGGTAATAGGATGACTGAGACGTGTGCTGTTGCCCCTGCCCCGCTCCATACGTCCCTTCGTAGGGCCGATTAAAGACCTCAGCCATGTTTTCTGAGCTCTGCTGCCTCCGTGTCGAGCCGCCGTGTCTCCGAGTAGAGCCGTGGAAGGAAGAGGAGGAGGTGTGTGCCGGAGCAGAGGTCTGCCTCTGGACGTGGCGACCGGCCGGCTCCCAGGCTTTGAAAGCCGAGTTAGAGAGGAAGGGGTGTGTGGTGGTCTTTGGGAGGCGTGAGTGCTCCAGGTGAGTAGAGGGGATGGAGATGGAGAGAGGGGTGTGCATGATGTGGTGTGATGGCAGGGGCTGGTGGATGTAGGACTTCTCTTTGGGCTGTACGGGAGGCGGTGCTGCAGGCTGGTACTGAGAGAAGTCCATGATGGGGAAGCTCTTGTAGTAACTCCGGGAAGCAGTTTCAGCTGCAGACATGAGAAAAAGAAGAGACCGTTAACACCCGGTGCTTAACTGAATCCAGTTTTGTCTGGGGTTTCTGGGGCATTACTAGGCCAGTTTAAAGTGGTTGCATCATCTTTTTTCTTTTTTTCCACTCGGCAGGAGCATACATGTCAAGTTGTACAGATTGTCTGTAATTTACACAGATTTTACCTCATTTTGCAGGTATATGGATGTATGGAGCACTCTCACAGATATTTTCATGTTTTACTGATTTTTTTCAAAAACTCAGTTTCAATTTTATTTAAAAGGATCCATGATTAGTTGTAACATTAGACTTTATTTGATAAATATTTGTTTTAACTGTAAAATAAAGACTGTAAAAATACTGTAGGCTGTTTAGTTTTGTAAATTTTTAAAAATATATTTTAACACAGATGGAGCCATTTTATTTCCACACAAAGCATTCTGGGTAAATGATGACGTGGATAGGTCCTCGGTGCGAGGC